GTGCCTGACATTTGGCAGTGAGGAAGCTGGGCGCTCTCGACCCTTGGACCCTTGGATTTCGGTTTACTGAATGATTAGAGAGGAATGAACAATTTCACACATGGTGTTTTGATGTACGTTTTGTTTATTCTTAAGTTTCACAGCCAAATTTGGCGTGAACACTCGCCAAACTTAACCAGAGTAGATTTGCAACTAATGAACTAGTGTCGCATTTGACTACGCTAAAGAAATGAAATGTGATCAACTTCAATCTATACTACTGGTCAAAGAACTTTCTAATCTGTGCCGTTAGATACAGATATATTTCGATAAGTTAAGAAGACTTGTCTAAAAGTATTTATAACGAAAAAAATATACATAAAAGTTGTTGTTTTAGTGCCTTCTTCTTGATTTTTAGAAGCTTCTTCGAATTATTTGCACAAATTTTGAATTAATATCTACCGTACAAGCTAGCTAATTGTGGATTACTTCGAAACCATTATGGACAGATCATCTCTGCTCTCAAACTTGATCTGTGGTTATGAATAAGAAATTTATAGACGAAGTTTCGACTTCATTTCAATCCTCAATTTTTTTAACAACGAGTAACAGAAAGATAGAGAGACAGGCAAGGCAAAGTTTATTGAATGCCTGACGCAAATTTTCGAAAAGCTATATCTAATAAATCTCTGTTCTTTAGAATAAGGTGCAAACAATACTTTTAGACTACAGAAATATATATTTCAAAGTGTACTTACCCTGGAATTGTCCCGCAGAAAACGTAACTCTTTAATAAAAGAGGCCCATATTTGAACCAGACCTCTTTCGCCACCGAAATGAGCGTTGCATGTAGCTAACAAGCAACTTGAGTCACTTTTAATTTGGTCCTGTACCGGTTGTGGATGTGGCTCTATGCTTGTTGTGTACATGCTTTTTTTCTTTTTTTTCTCATTGTTTTATTGTACCTATACTAAGTTTTAATATTAATTAATTTAAGATTTATTTTAAGAGTCAATTGAACTCTACTAGTATAAGTAGAATAAATAAATAAATAAATAAAATTAAATCTAGCTCTTGCTGCATCTGTTCCGATCAAGCAGTGTCGACCTCGAAGCGGATGTGCCCCGTGGTTTAATAAGACAATTAAATATTACAAGAATAAAAAAAACTCGCTATTCACAGTACGAGGAGCATTGCATATATTGTAAACTTTTTTTTCGTCTTGCAAATTGGAATAGAGACCCCGCCCACAGCTATTAAATACATACAGATAAGGTTGGTATTGCCGTGATCATAGTCTCTTCATCGCTCAATTGGAACTTATTTGTTTTTTATTGATTTTCTTTTTGGATGCGTCCAATTCTCAAAAATAATTTATTTGCATATTTAAATAGCGGTTAATAATTCCATCAAATATACTATGATTTACATTCTTATTTAACGACGGACACCGAATATCTGACAGACGAACGTAACTTAGTAAATGACTCTACCAATTCAAATACTGCTGTGTACTTATATTATGCAAGATTCCATTTGCCACTAATTTTCATTAGTCGGATTTGCACAAACTTCGTCAACATCACGGACTATATCCTTACTTTTAAGGGATTCCTTTGCTATATTTACCTCCTTCAGCAAACCCCGCCCAATGCCTTTTCTTTCAAATCGATTTTTCTCAATTCTTTTTAAAAAAATCATTTTCAAAAGTCTGATTTGTAATACCTTATTCCACTTATTCCACAAAGATATCTGAAGTTTGCGCGGGCATCCACAAGGACCGGATTCTCTCCGTTGTTCTAAGTCTCATTTCGCCGGCTCTATGTGCCTTCCTCGATATACCCTTGGTGCTGGAAGCAACATTATCAGCTTATTACTAAGCGTAACGGATACCATCAGACAAGACATAAAATGTGGCCCCATGACGTAATTTTAGATCATAAATATAACAATATATAAAATTAAAAAGAGATTTTGAAACTTCTAACCGATTAATTAGCATACATTAATCATATTTTTTGTCTTAATAAATGTGGTCTTTTTTTTTGATCGCCTCTAGCACCAGATCTACGGAAGCTCGACAATTTGCCGGGTAAGTTTTGTGAGTCGTCACAGTTGCAGGAATGAAGAAAGGAAGAATTTGGCGTAAATATTCCTTAAGCTCCATCATATCCCTATTGTCAATTTTGAGTTCAACGATTGGCGATTTTGATGTCAGTGACACAAAACAGCCTGTGGAACCAAAAGAGCTCAAAAACAATGAATTGCGCGAGTTATTGGACAAAACCCCATCTCAAACTCTGAAAGAACTTTCGAAAAACTTAATAATTAATGAAGCAATTGTTTGTAGACGTTTATATGCGTTGTGAACGATCCGAAAGGACGAAAAATGGCTACCTAGAAAATGTCATCTGTTGCCGCTCGACTGGACAGATTTACCACGCACTCACCAGACCTGTCGCCTCCGGATTACCACTTATTCAGATCGTTGCAACATGGTTTGCCCACCGGGTCCGCAAAATTTAAAGAAGTGCGAAAATTGGTCGACGATTGGATCGCTGCCAAGTCAATATAAGTTCTTTCGACACGATGTCGCCATGTTGCAAGAAATGTGTAAGATATTGTTCAAAATTATGTAAATATTTTGATCAATGTATATTGCAAGTTTTCTTAATAAATGCCTTTTTCAGGTGAAAGAACTATCAAAATTAACGCAAACACATCATATTATCTAAAAATTTCAATCAACGTATACTGTTTCTTGGTTTCTTTAATAGGGATGGATTAGAGCTTCATTAAAATAGTTATAATTTTAATTTTGTTTATTTCTTAACAATTTTGTTGTTTTTATCCTTAAAATTTTTTTACAAAAAATCGGAAAGTAATAACATTATTCATTTCTCTATAACAATCGAAAGCCTCTGTCTTTTGAACGGACTATTCGACCCAAACCGAATATAGCTTCTCTAATTAATAAATGCAAACAACTTAAGTTACAGCGATGACTTATAAGCACACATTTTTAATGCGATGCTTACGTAATTATTTCCTTTCGAAGTTGGATCGATGTTGGTTCAAGTTTATTTTTCCAATTACCACTCAGTTTTATATGCTCAAATCCGGCCATATTTGTTGAAAGCATTTGTTGCACTTCAAATGCACCATTACTGTAAGCAACAAAAGTATCGAAAATTCCGGCAAATTTAAAATGTTTCAAATATTCCAATTCCTTATCACTATTATACAAAGCTTTGCGGGGCCATTCCGACTCTAAAATGTAAGCGAAATCGTAAAAAGCATTGCTTGGAGCTAGAATATCGAAAGTGTAAACATCCTTACAAGTGGCAACAACTAAAACAAAGCCTTTACCATTTTTATTCAGAAATTCAGGTATTATGAAAATTCATACCATTGATTGATGTTTAATGTCAGCCTCCAACTTCAGTCCTTAACATTAATTAATAAACAATAACGCAACGTGTGACCAAAATTGTAACCCATCGTCTAGTTGGCGCTTATAGCAACAAACACTTTTTTAACCGCTTTGATTTGTCATTGGGAAAAACAAACTGGTCTTTCCTGTTGCTGTGTATTAATTTATGTAATTTATATTTAAATATAAATAGCTTCATTTATATAATAGCTTTATTATATATTTAAAATAGCTTTATTAATATATTTAAAAATATATTTAAAAGAAATTGTTATTCTTTTTGCTGGTTTCCTGATTGTTTCCGATTCTTTTTCCTTGACTTGGTCGCTTTTGCTTTTCTATCATCTCCTCTAGATTTACCATTTAAGTTGTTAAGTTGGGCTTTTAACCATTTAACAGAGCTGCTATTTTTAGACTATTTTTATAAGAAACTCTGCACTTTGCCTTTTAACAGGGAATTTAGCGAGGGCTTTGTTTAAAAATTATGGCGGTCTAATTTTAGGCTAACTTGTAAAATTAAAGAAATTAAGAAATTTTATATGGAAACATAGATTTATTAATAAAAAATAAAGAAACATTAGATACTAAATATCCTAAAGTTTTCACTTTCACTACTTACCTTTCACTACTTTTCCTTTTTCTTTGTTTTGCCGACGGTTTCGCATTTAGCAGTTGGACCTTTACAGTACAGAGTGCAGAGTACAGAGTTGCTTGCAATAAATAAAAAAATAGTCCAAAAATGGCAGCTCTGTTAAATGGTTAAATGGTAAAGCCATTCAACTGTGTAACATGGCGGGGTAAAGCCGTCAGCAAAACAAAAGACACCTCTGTTGAAATTGTCGGGAAACGCGATGCAAACGCAAAAAAACGCGTTTCATTATAGAGATATTAACAGGTAAAATCGAACTCAGACGCAGTAAGTGAATTAAAACTACGGAATTCATCAGAAAATTTCGAGGTGATGTCCCCTATCAAGGATAACGAAGTTAGGCTTTTCTGATAGGTTTTAGCGACCTTTAAGACATGTCAAAAATCTACGATAGGGAAATTTCTTAAAAACTTTTTATCACCAATTTAGTGTTTTGGGTATCTGGAGAGAGCCGGTTTTTGGCGAATTTCGAGGTGATGTCCCCTATCCAGGGTACCGAAGTTAGGTTTTTCTGATAAGTTTTGGCGTCCTTTAAGACATGTCAAAAAACTGCGCATGGCTTCTTTCTTAAAAATTTTTTATACACACTTTATATATTGCAACTTTTCGCCAACACTGCACATGGTAAATACAAGAACAAATTTTTTTTTTAGTTTCGTAAAACATTTCTGTATAATTTCTTATTTCAGTTACGCTTGTGTTTCTATTTTTGTTTAGTTTTTCTAATGATTTTATAGTATTCAATTATCAATTATCTTAGCAAAGATGAGAACCCAAGAGTGAAGTTAGCCCACATTTTTGTCTTCGCTAAAATGTGGGCCAGCTGCAGTGGGCTAACTTCACTTCCGTAAAGCTTTGCCAATTGAAAAGACGCAGTGGGTAATCACATAGCTGAAATTTAGATTTCGCTGTTGTATTTAGCTGTTTGGCAAAAACCGCTCATAGGTGATTACCTGCAGGTTTCTTCTTTTCTTTCTTTTTTGTTCATAATAAATATACCAACTACGCTTGTCAATTAACAGAAAAATTAGTAAATAATAGAAACTAGACAATAAAATAAAAACAAATTTTCACCATGGCACCTCGAGGCATTCGTTGTGCCTTAGGTAATCATAACTTGCGCGGTACCGGAGTGCTTATCACAAATGCGAAACATATTTCGTTTATAAAGAAAGCTATACCGCATTTCCGACCGCAAGAAAGAGTCTGTGTGCAGTGCAAAAAAGCCATGGAAAATATCTACACCAATAAGCTCAAGCGAGCAATAGAAAATCAACGTCGTACGCTTGGATCATTGAGTGTTTCATCGTCTACAACATTGTCGTCAGATGTGTCCGCATTTCAGTTAGTCAATGAACAAACTTCAGACAGGGACCCTAAAACCGGAAATGTGGACGCTTCCACGGACAGTTCAAATGAACCTACAACCAGTGCTGCCGCCGCTGCCAGACGGCAAAAAAAATGCCAGCAACAACTAATTGACAAATATAAAGCACCACAAGAGAGAAATGTTCGTCTTCCAAATGTCCAACCCTACATAAGGCATCAACAATTTATTCACGCTAATCCGGAAATAATGAATATATACCTTCAGGGCTTAACTGGCGGTTAAAAACTAGGACGGAATGAATGAAGAACGCTGTGCCAGTTTAAAAAACTCTCCTAAGGGTCGCAGATTTTTAATAATATGTATATTTCTTCGTATTCTCTCCTTATACTTGGTTGAGAAAAATAAAATTTGAAAACTTTTTATTTATTTATATTAAAACAGATGTAGAATTTATTCTTAAAGGGCCACCAAATTCATGTAAAACAAACACAAGATTTCCCTCAAAATACATTATTTCTTATTTCGTCCTTAATTAAATTATAACCACCTATTGTGATGTTACATTAATTGATGAATAATAATTTTTGTAATAAAATTTTTTTTGAAATGCATTACTCGTCGTTACTAGGTCGTTTGCGTCAACTATCTTTGTTACAATTAAATTAACCACCCGCTTTCAAATTCTTTTCGTTAACGCCTTCAAATGTATCCAGAACTCTTAAATGTGAACACATCAACGTGTAGAGATGTAGCAGACAACTTATTAACGATAGCTTAAATAATGAGATCTTATATGTACGTAAATTGATTAGATAGATACTTGGCGGACATGTAAGCGAATAAACGAAATATTGAATAACAGAAGTTCACAAACTTTATGCATTTTAAATCTTCTTCTTTTTTTTTTTTCTATACCATTTTACTGGTTTCTTACGCATTAGAAGAGTCAACCTGGCAAAACCCGAAAACCCGAAAAACCGAAAAATTATGAATTCTATTTGAAATTATTAGGTTGGCAAAAAAAACTTTTGATATGTTCCATACCTTTTCCGAAAGTGCTTCGTATACGTCAGCACAGTGGACAAAAAAGGAAATTGTAATATATGCCAACAAAGAGACGAGGAATGCTGGCCGTCCGAGTCAAGCAATGTACTATTCATTCATTCATTGTAGATGAATCATTAACTCGAAAATATTAATCCAAAGCAGTATTTATTTACTTATTTATTTACGCATGAAATTCAGCTAAAATAAATTAACACCTAAATTCAGTTGATTCTTACAATCTTTTGCTAGTACAAAGTGTATAAAGAGAATTAAGGAAATAAAAAAAGAAATGAGGAAAACATAAAAGAAGAACATTCATGTATAAATAAAAGGTAAAAAGCTTGCAGTATAGAAGCACACCCGCAGCCGGTACAGATTAGAGTTGTGAGCGAACGACTAAGCCATTACAAACTTGCAAAAGCTTAGCAATCGATAACGGTAAACAAATTCATTTAATTTCCCAATAATTATAAGATGTTAAGATTGCAAGTTAATTTAGATACGACATAGGTAAATCGCGCGCATGAACCATCGTCGGTTTGATAGAATGTAAAGAATCCGATATTAACATTAAGTAAGTGATATCATTTATATTTTTGCAAAGGATCCTGAAAAGATTGAAATGTTCGCAATTAAATCTGCATTGACCGAGCTTTATGAAGATAAAATTCCTAGAGAATGTATTCGGGACATTAAAGTTTATCCTACCAAATAATGCTGGCCAATCGATAGTAGCCTTTATTAACTTAATTAAAAAGGAAACACCAAGAATAAATATACGTTTCTCAAGTGATGGTGAGGGTAACAGAAGTAACTTATTTTCATAGGGTGGCAAAGAGACAAACGGCAAAGAGCAGTCATTGCTTTTGAAAGCATTCTATTGAATCTACATATCACCCGTAGGAACGATACCACACAACAGAAGCATACCCAAGTATTGGTCGGGCCTAGCTCACTATAGCCTTTTCGTAATGTAAGGATCATTAAGCTCCTTGGGCCATCGTTTAATAAAACCCAGTGCATACCTAGTTTAATTTAAAGAAAGCTCAATTCAAACGTAATCTCTGACCGAATAGAACCCCTAAATCGATGAACGAATCTACGTTTTCCAACTTGTGTGAATCGATGAAATACTCCGTACTGAATGACTTCCTTCTTAAGAAAAAAAGCTTCTTCCATTTGTTTAGCACCATGTAATCAAATTATTTAAGTTAGTTTGAAGTTGATACGATTGCGATTCCAAGAAGCAGGAAGAAAACAGTTTAACGTCGTCAGCGTACTTTAAGATATGGCTGGATTTAATCGCCGACGGAAGAAGAATAATGTATAGACTAAATAAAAGGGGTCCTAAATGGCTGCCATGAGGAAGTACAGATTAAAATGCTTGACATAAGTAATAAGTAATGCTTGACAAGCTTTTGTAAGGAAAATTAAAATTAATTTGCGTTAAGGAAAATTTGTATTAAATTTTAGATGATTATACCAGCTGGGCAATTATGAAAGGCAGATATGAGAAACACGCGTTATCCTTGAAAATGAAAACTATATGTAACTTGTGATGAACCATTTTTTTAACGTTTTTCTGTAATGAAGCGTTTTTCTCGGTCCGTATTATCTATCTTTACAACTCGTATAACGCAGCTGTAGCAAGTTAGTAATACATCCTTTTCGGTCGGTTACATCGGTTTTTCTTTCTTGCTTGTTTAGCTATTCAGTACATTATGAAGCCTTTGTCACCTTTATTTTCAAGTATAATCGGCGGACCTAAATTGATGAAAAACACTTGCTTAGATTGCTTAATTTCCTTAATTTGTCATTCTTTTCTCAATGTTTGATGCAAGAGGCATATGAAATTTCGCAATCATAGAAATATGCAACGGGGATTTCGCAATGTAAATGTGTCTTTCTGATCGCCATGAATAACGAAGGCAGTTCACCCAGCGACGCCTCAGTGAGCTCGAGCTTTAAATTGGATTTTCAAGTTTCAATATCATTCTTTGTATGTTGTCAAACGCGAACGATCAAGCTAAATGGTATTTCAGGCCATCCTTTTCGTGAGAAAAAAATTCCTGTCTCTTGCCATGTGGAAACTTTCGGGAAACCAATGATAAAATTCAATGGTCACAGATTATTAGATTAGCTTTTTGGCCATTATTTTACATATAGCTTATTTTCAATGAACCCAAAGTCCAATAGTATCCATAGAATCCTATATTAAAAAACCACATTTTTTAGCTTGGATTACATAGAAAATCAGAATAAAATTAAGATTATTTTATAAATTGTTTTACTTACGCCACATTTTAATGTCACATCAACAAATTGCAGAGAATTAAATAACGCTTTAAAGGTGACTCTGACATTTTTCATATTTACGAGAACCCATACACTTAACGGTGCCCACAACAAACACAAACATAAAATTTCGGGACCGTTGTCCCATGCCACTCAATCCTTGTGTGGCTAATTTGACAGTACTCGGGCAGCTTGACTCGAGAGGCCTGACTTGAATTGAAATCTTCACGTTATTCCCCTTATTGTTGCTTAATATTAATATTGCAAGTGTTTTACTCATGTTCACAATGACTGGTTTTTTTACTCCTTTCTCCTTTCTCTTCTCAATTCTTTCCATTACCTTTAACATTGAGTACTAAGCAATACAGCCTTCTAGTCATCTCTTATATTTTACGTTTATTTTGGAAAAATAAAGTGAAAATCGTACACTTTTACAAAAGTATAATATTAAAAAATATTTCCAAATGAAACAAATCAAAAAAGAGGCCCAAAAAATTTATCACCGTATATCACTCCGATCAATCGGTTGCAATCCAATGCCCTGTACATGTGTTCATATCGTACTTTAGAGGCTAAAAATAGCCCACACGCGTGCAGCGTGCTTTGCTGAAACAAAATCATCATCATGCTATTGTATTTTTCTAATCAACATTGTTTCGCTCGTCAATGCGAATACATGATGCAAAGATAAAAGTTGATCATCTACAAGCAGGTGGGATGCAGGTTATATGTCCAGTTATGTAATAGATAAATTCATGCTATCATCTACAATCGTCATCAATCGATTAAAGTGCGTGACACATAACCCGCTTTCTTTGAAGCGGCATAAGTCCCTTTGAGGCGAACAAAGTGCAAATTTTTATCATTTTACTTATTTAATGCAGCACATGTACCAATCGTTTTCAAGTCAATCAAATGCAAACATATCCGTACAATATAAAATAGACTTCGAAGAAAGATATTGAAAGAAAGTGGCGGAAAAATCGATCTCATGACCGTAGCAGTTTCAAGTGTTTTTGTTTACTTTCGATATTTCTTTATTTGTAAATTTCTACTAATAACGTTTGTTCAAGAAAGAGATTAATGCTTAAAAATGTTCTTTTGTAGGTGATTTTTTTATAAACTAGTTGAAAATCATTTCATTGGTGTACTTATGGGTATATTATGGCTTTGGAAAGTGTTGGTCATATATTTGGGAGTGTGCATCTGTGTCGACATACAATTATATAATAATAGACAACTAAAAGTGTTTAAATACTTTTGCGATTTTAGTAATTTTTTCAATTATCAGCAATAATAGCGATTTCTTAACTTTTGAAATGTTGCACATTTTTTAACAATCCTAAAATTTTCTACTTTTGCTCTTTATTAGCTTTTCTAATTAACCTCTTTATAATTTTTTTTTTTAAACCCATCTTGGTACTTGACATCTGTCTCGGTATTTAAGTGTATATTTCTTCCTATTAATCTTCGCTGGGGTGATTTTCGCGACGTCGATATTGCTTCGAACTTTTTTACAAAAACTCTCTGAAAGGTTCATCGAAGTTATTGTGATTGTTAGCGTTTTCGCTGTTACCCGTACCGCCATAATTGCCACCGCCATTGATAATGATTGCAGTTTGTTGTTGGTGTTGTTGATGCTGTTGCTGCTGCATAAATATTTGCTGATCGTGATTTGTCATCATCAAAGGTTGGGTTTGCGCGTGATGTACATGATGCGATAAAGTTTGATTTTGTATTTGTATTGTAGTTGTAGCTGTTGTTATTGTGGATTGTTGTGGTTGTTGTTGTTGTTGTGGTGGTGGTGGTGGTGGTGGTGGTTGTTGTGCCTGCTGTTGTTGTTGCTGTGGATGATTTGAGTGCTCTGCTAAAAGACTGCAATTATAGCTGCTACTATTTCCATTGATAAGACCATCGTCGTAGCACGCTACCATTGCACCATTTACCGTTGCAGCTGTACTAAGTTGCATGACATTTGCTTCTGTCTCAGCCGAATTTTCCAAGGCGTTAGCTTCTCCGTTCAATATTATACCATTCAAATCTAGGGCGGATTCTTCGTTACGTTTTGCAAGTATTATATGCGTCAAGTTAATTATGTAATTTTTAGCCAAAGTTAAAGTTTCAATTTTCGACAGTCTTCTCTCCATTTCCACATGTGGTATAACTTCACGTAATGACTTGGAAACAAAAAAAAAAAAAATAAATAAAAGAAAATTATCTGCAATTCACTGAACTTTAAAGCGTTAAGAACAGAACGTTGTACCGTTAAAAAAAGCAATTAACAACATTATCGTCAGGCAAGGCCGACTACTAGGTATCCTACACGACTTCGCCTAACATAGTCATTCATTAATTTTCGTGATACTACATCAAAAATTCTATATTATGTTTATGCAAACGTATATTTCTCATGAAAACTCTTCTATGGAAGAATCTTCAAAGCGTCAATTGATGTGCTCCATGTTTAGCAAACTTAGTTTGCTTGTTAAAGGTTTTAATTTTATTTTCGGCTACTTCCTTACTTTTCATGATAGGCCCTATCCACGTGAGTAGCGAACTACATAGAATCGTGATCACAAAGTCATTGTTCGCGGATTCAAATCTCAGTGCGATAGAGTTGAATTTGTACTAGTGAATGGGTTCACATCCATTAGGCTTCGACAACCACAAGACAAGACGTTATATGGGGGGAGGTCGACATAACGGTCTGGTCATAAAATGAATCTGGTCTTAAGTTCTGCATGTAACGTACATCCGCATAGACTTAACCAACATCATTTATGGTAAAGGATATAAGAAGAGTGACAAAAAGAAGAGAGAATTATACTCAGCTTAAGAATTATTATTAATAGCAACTATCTCAAAATAATGGAGGTATAAGCTAACTTGTTAACTGTTCGCGTGTCAGTCTTATAACCGAAGCCCGGTTTCCACTGACATGATTTTAAGCCACATATTTTGTTTTAATTATTTCTTATCATTTATTAGGAAGCTCAGCTCAGATCATAAGATTTAGATTAAGATATAAATGTTACGTGAGGATTATTTACGCATTGTCTACTTAAGATTATGGTACGTGGAAAATCCCTCGAAAATGTAAAATGACAATTAGAAATATTCACAGTACAAAAAGTCGGATATAAGGGATGTTGCCTTAGTTCTCTTAAACAGTGGCGTGCACGTACGTACGATTCGTCCGAGCGCCTTGTCTGTATGCTTTTGCAAAGAAAAAGCAAAAAAAAAAACTGTAAGGAAAGCAAGGAAAGAAATTATATTCGATCGCAGCCGTATTTTTAACTCTCACCGCCCTTATCTTCAAACCGTAGGATCATTTACAAAACATGGGCGAAGATGTTTGTCATTATACCTGTTCTTGTTTATGAGCACTAAGCCACAAATTCAAAAAGATCACTTTTTTCCTAGCTTTTTCAATTCACAAATTCTTTTTTTAGGTGATGTACACGTTGAGAATCAAATTTGAATGCAACTTGGCCTACATATGCGTTAAGCACATTTGTAAGTCTTCCATAACAATAACCTTGATAATGCATTGCTTTATATTTCGCTAAAATCTCTCCACCTGTAGTGCAGGGTCTATTAAGTTTGCGGATGCATGCATTACTCAGAAGCTTTTAAGATAAATCCCCCTTTTTTTAAACTGGTTTAAGATTTTATGACATCCTATCCTCCCGCCTGTTCGAGTGTAACAAGTTAAACAGGTTGCACAAGTAGCACAACCAAAAGTCACTCCCTTTATTTTATCGTCAACTTAAAGTTCACTAAATGAATGACGTTTCCTCGAAAGGGAGTATTCGTGTGAAGACTGGTGCCGGACACCTCTGAGTTACTTGCCGCAAAACTGCCATCCGTCAATTTGAAGCGTGTTAATATTTCCAAATTGGCTCCATCTCAACCTAGGGCTATCTTGTCTTTGAAGGCTTTAATTACGAATAAGAACATGGAAATTTTGTTAAATAAATCAATGTGATCGCTTGGATCTTTAATAGCGAACTTTATTCTTCGTGAATAAATGAAATTGAAATACGCATTAGGTAGTTCTTTCACACGAAGAAGAAAAAAAGAAGTGTGTTCTCAGGTCCAGTAACCTATCATTTACCAAAATGTTAGGGGCCCAACTCAAAAATTCTTTCTATTTACCTAAATTCAGGGAGTACGGAGTTTTCGTGTTTGCTTTTTACTGTTTAAAGATTGATCTGCATTTGTCGGACCTTTTTCACAATTCTTTCAAAAAGATCGATTAAATCGCGCTGGTAGTGGTGTTTTAATAGCCATATCAGCTGTTTTTCTATCCCATTCGTTTCATTGTCCTATTCCTCTCGACGTTGAATTTATTGCCATTCGGGCGAAAATTGGTAGTAGGAAGTTACATGTAACCTGTTTCTATATTCCGAAATGTGGCCGAAAAATCGAAAGTTATGACGGGATCATAGTGTTGAGGTACTTCAATTTGCTACAAGTCACCTGGTGTTACAATGATAATTCAAGCTGTACGGTTTCCGTTTCAACATTTGATAGAGCTATTTTGTTTTTCAATGAATTCTTTGATCGAAATTTACTTCAATACAACCGTATTCCCAATTGTGACCTCAGGCTAAAAATCTTTGCTTTGCCAATTTCCGGGAGGTAGTTGCAAATTGCTGTCCACCTTATAATTTACCTGAAGGTCCGTATCATCCAGCAATTCGCATATTCTTTCATTTTAGGTAGGATATGCCCGTTGAACCACTCTAACATGTCAGATCTGACTTGCTCAAATAAACAATATGATTTCAATAAAGCCAATATTTTACTGCTTACATCTCATATTTCCCACATTATGCTCGATTTTTCTAATGTCATCGTTTCATAATATATTAAACCTAGATATTTCTACGTCCGTTCCGAGCAGACAACCGACCCTTCGAAGTAGGTTTATCAAAGTAGTTAAACACTTTAAAAATCGCAAAAATAAACTTTACAAATAGTATATGAAAAGTGGCTGGGGGGACGATTATTTCGGCCCTCTCCTGCAAGGCATAGATTTAATTACCTGAACCACCAAAATTATTACAGACACTTTCAGTTGATAAAATCCTCACTACTTATTAATCCTAAATATCTTTATAAGTTTGTCAACTTCAAAAAAGGAATCTCCATATGTCCTTCTAATGAACCTTTGAATGGTTCCGACTCCTTTGGTCATATTGAAACCTCAAATTGCTTTGCTGAATAATTCCGACGAAAATTTGGAACGGCTGATTCCAATTTAATTGATAATTACCCCTACCAAATCACAAACCCGGTTTTGATTCCCAACTCGATCATCTCCGAAAATGACGTTTTACCAAAGTTTGAAGTCTCTAAAATATAATTGTACGAGTCTGATGGAGTCCCATCATGTATAGTCAAATTGTACTCTGAAGAGGTATGTGGTGTTATCTCAAAGATTTTGAATTCGCCCCCGAAAATCAGGCGATGCCCCCTTGTGTTGGAAAAGTAGCATCCTTATTCCAGTTCACAAATGTGCAAACAGACATCTCGTCGAGAATTATAGACGCGTTGCTAAGTTATATATGTTACCTAAACCGTTTAAACGAACTGTTAGTCAGGTTTCCTTTTTTAGCTTTCGCTATCAAATCTTATATTTTTCCATTTTAGCGTGACGTTCTGAAAGAAAGATTAACTGTTACGAATCTCTCAAAGATTACGTTTTAATTTGCTAGATTCGCGTTAGGTTTCATTAAACGGTGGTCCAAAGAGATTAACGATCCTTACATTACGAAAGGGCTATATATGGGCTTAGTCAGACAAATAGGTGCTGTGTATAAAGCAACGCTTTTGCTCTTCGCAACTTGTGTTAGGACCCGCTTGTCTCTTTACCTCCCTACGAAAACCATCTCTTGAGAAACGTAAATTTATTCTTGGTGTTTCCTTTTTAATTAAGTTAATAATGGCTACTACCGGCCATTCGCCAGCATTATTTGGTAGGATAAACTTTAATGTCCCGAATAGTTTCTCTAGGAATTTTATCTTCATAAAGCTCGGTCAATGCAGATTTAATTGCGAACATTTCAATCTTTTCAGGATCCTTTGCAAAAATATAAATGATATCAATTACTTAATGTTAATATCGGATTCTTTACATTCTACCAAACCGACGATGGTTCATGCGCGCGATTTACCTATGTCGTATTTAAATTAACTTGCAATCTTAACATCTTATAATTATTGGGAAATTAAATGAATTTGTTTACCGTTATCGACTTAACAAAACATTTTAACTTGTTCGAAAACCACTGGCTGCTTCTTTTTTTATAAGCTGAAAAATGCAGTTTAAGCTTAACTTCACAACATTTCATAGCGCGCAAAATTTTCCAACGGTCTTAAAGTTTTTACCGGAAAAAGAAACCTCTAAAGTATGATTAATTCCTTTCTAATACCTTTAAAAAAAGCAGACAATCTTTTATCTTTATGTCTTCAATGCAACATATTATCACGATCTCTCCTCGATAGTCACGTTTACGTAAAGTCTATGGATTATTCGCCTTTTTATACGCTTGCATAAATTTTTCTTAAGGATTTGTTACGTAATCTCAATAGTTTGCAATTTACCTGGAAAGCGTCATTCAAGCTATGCATACGCATGCGTTCTCGTTCATTTGATTCCAGACGACGTAAATTACGTTCCTTTGCATTTAGCGTTCCCTTACGGCGACGATTTTGGCTTGTTCCTGAAGAAGAGTTTCTGCCACGACTTGAAGGTCGTGCACTGCCGCCATTACTACTGCCACCGCCCCCACTTGTATCATCGCTTTGCGAACTTGAATCTGTCATTTCCATGTCATAATTATTGCTTAACTGGAAAACACATGAAGCATACGTATGTAGAACGCACATATTCCATGTAAATTTTCTTGCATAAGAAAGAATTGAAAATATGTAAAAGCAATAAATAAAAAAACTGTAATAATATTCAAGCGATTGTTAAGTGCGACGTGTAGGGGAAGTCGTTCTAATTCAATTTTAGCTTGAGCGTTTAGCATTGGCATAGCACGTCGATAAAACTGCATTGAAAACTTTAGTTTTTTCAAGGTCGTCTCAATTTTTAGTTATTGGGGTTGTTAATATGTACGGACCAAGAGCATATATAATTCTGATTATATTGGAAAAGTTTTTGAAGAAAACAGGCGGAACGACAATTATATTGTATGTGAATGAATCCATTTTAGCCAAGCACGACGCTATAATTTCGCTAAATATTGGTTCATTTATTCATGCATTCAGGGATTCAAAGAGATCTTGTGCAATACATATCTTGCTGTTGATTATTAATATCTCTTGACGAATTATCACGGCGTTTCTTCTGGTGATCCATAAATAACTTAACCTACACATTTCCCCCGGAGTTACTATATATTGCGTATACTACATGTTGGGACTATTCGTCATGTAATTGTATTAATATGCTTTCCTCTTAGACGAAGTTTACGCTTGGATAATAAGTACGCACACATATATGTACACATACCATGTATACTTTAGCTCGTACCTGTGACGATGTTCTTCGACTTGCTCTTCTTATTGGTCTTGAAGATCTAATGTTATCTGGTGAATGCTGGCTTGTTTGTTGCTGTTGTTGTTGCGGTGCCGTTGTCAATGATGTCACCGGTATTGATGCAGTTGTCGTTGTTACTGTTGTTGCTACCGCTTCTGGTATGTTATAACTAAGCATTTGTTGTGGCTGATGTTGTAATTGGGTAAAATCATGTGAGCCCATTATTTCGATTCCTTGACTGTCATGAACATTCAGTTTGCACATCAGTTCGTAGTTCATTTTAAATGCTTGCATGCATTGTATAGGAAACAAAACAAAACAATTTATTTTTAAAAATTTATGTTTTCTTGTTTTATAATATGCTTACCTATAAGGGATACTTGGAAACCGATATAACCACATATGTAGATATATTATGTGTGGGAATGCTGAATTTATCCCAAGATTGGCTTCTTTTACATTGACTTTATGATTATTAGAAAAATATATTATATGTCGTTCGTATAGTACAATTTACTATCTATCAGAAATACGGTCAAAATATGATGACAAAATGCTTGGAATGACTTTTCCAAACTTAATGGAGTCTTGGTTTTTACCAGCGAGCGTTTGCTGAAAACAGTCAGTACTATATGAGACCAGTCATCCTACTACTACTACCACAGCAACTTTAGTCTATTCTAAGTCAATTATCACTCTTTACGCTGCAATGTAAGCGATATCATCGAAGGATAAATATCTTAGTTTAACTTTGAGTTCTCATTGTAAGAACATAGGTACGCTCACCCGTCGGTCAATCCTTTCCGGAACTAAATCAGAACAAAACATTTTTATTCATTCCTTCAGAGTCAATCATTTTAAGCCTATTTTAACAATCCCATGTCGTTCATGTAACGATTCGTCAAGATCTTCATTATTTGATGAAACATTTTTCTTCGGAGCATCCTTTTGAAATTTCTAACCGAGCAATAGTTTCTGAAGGCCACATCTGCGTAATATGGTGAATAGGCGTGTTGGTTGAAATCCAGCGGGTAAGAAAATTAATAAATATTAATAATAGTATTCTTTACTTGTTTTAATTTACTTGTTTCAAAAGGTTCCAATTTACTTGCTCAAAAAAGTTTTTAATCAAAGCAGAAAAAACTCTAGTCCTAATATTCGAATCAAAGTCAAAGCCAAAAAAAATAATTTATTTGAAATTAGATGTTCTCATAAAAAAAGTTCCTGTAAATGATTTTATGCAAATAAATTGTAATTTTGAAAATAAAAAGGAAACGAACATACTCTAAGGAATTCAAAAAAAATAAATAAATAAATAAAAAGGAATTGTTACGTTTCAATATGTTTAGGACATCATATATGTTCGGTATTTCACTTTCCGTTCATCGAAACTAATTTTCGTGATATTTTCTTAATATTATCTCTATTGAGCACAAATTACGTTAAAAAACGTCGATGTCAGTAAGACTTCGTTTAAAATTAGTAAACAATTGAGAAAATTTTGTTTTGGACCGAGAACAGTTGCCGTAACCATTTTGAGGCGAATGTTGAGTAATCAACACGCGTTATTTAGATTTTTCTTTTGACTTGAAAACCCGAAGAAAAATGCCACGAATGCTGCTGTAACTCGTAAACAGAGATGAGATCTGAGAAAGCGCCGTTTGAGGTTAAGCGTGATTTAAAAACAACATGGCTTTTTGCTAGAGATGATAGCATGTGTCACTTGCGGTCCGATTGCAAATAACGAAGTCCGAACTTTAGAAGTAAACTCCCTAAGCCGACCCATCATAGTGATGACGGTAATAAAAATGTGGGTGGTTTCATCGGTAGCTTCAAAGAACGCATTGAATTGCCATATGTTATTAGAACACGAGGGAACGGCGTTGATTAAAGCAGTCGTGTTGGAGTAATGCATACCAAATCATAATCAGCTAATTCCCCTAAACTGAGTTGTCAAGCATAATCAGCTCTATCATTTTCCTGATCACCTTTTGTTCTTCCGATGTCGTATCCAATTATTAACTAACGTCACCCGCTTTTTTAACAGGCAATGCAATGCTTATCGCATTCGTCGCGTTTTGGACACAGAATTGAACTTATTTAAAATCTCTTCAAAATTATTTTCTTCTTGCATACAGTTTAAAGAGATCACTTTCACATGGTGAAGTCACAGCTTGTCAAAAGCAAGTAAATGAAGTAACGCAATTTCTTAAAGTAACGATATTTTTATGCATCTTATTAAGTTTATCGCATAACAGCCACTGTGTTAAGACTTTCTCGACCTATTGTATATACGCATACAGATATGTAGAGTAATTCAAAAAGTTCGTATAGTAGCGCGTTTTGCAATGAAGTCATTTCCATCTAATAATGGAAGATACTTTCGAGCTACTGTTTGCATGTGTAAATGTATTGAAATGAAGTATTGCTCCGGTCATTAATTTAATAGCTGATATTGCTATAAAATTGGAAGTGATTTCTAATGATATTAACGTTAGCAAAGCAAAACATTAATTGCTGATAGACATTTTCGTACCACTGTATATATGTGACCGTTAACTTAATCGCTTTACAATTATACTTAAAATGTTTTTGAACGGTGTTAATTTGAAGTTAACTCTCTTCTTTTCCTTTTTGCCTCCCGACGCTCTCGTAAATGAAAAGTTCACCAACACATCATAACATATTTAGACCTCTTACAAGTGTTTATTGTTAACAGTAAATGCAATTTTTTAAGTTGTGTACTTACTTCTCTTCATAAATTTGAGGACAAGCTGAGAGTGGTGGCTAAAACGAATTCAGCACATAACACATAAGTTTCCTATTGGATGGGAACATTCAGAGAGCTAAGTATTTGAAACAAATCAGCAAAGACGACGAAAGTTTTAATAGCCAATTTCTTTTGTTTTACGGAATATGACGAAGCAAAAATAAGGATCGATCGTTTTTTCGAATTTTCTTCCGAAAATCATTATATTTCTTAAATTTGTTTACCTTTTATTTATTCTATATTAAAAGTTTCCTTCAAACCTATGTTCCCAATAAAAAAATTCTGTTTGGCCGTTACTATTACAATAGAATTTCAAGTCTACGACATTTTTATCCCAACGATCGAACTTCACTTCTGCCAATAAGAGAATTTGAACTCCGCTCAATTATTACTCTCATGATAAAAATTCACCACAATTTTGCTATTATTATAATAAAATAACATAATTCCTCAGTTAACATATAATGATAAAAAAGTGATTCTATTCGACTAAAAATAAAATTTAAAATATATTCGTTATTGTTTTAAAAATAATAATTTAAGTATTATCGGCTATTTTTTTAATAATGATATTATAATAATTTTAATTCTATTCCATTATAAATATAGTAACAAGATTTCAGATGTAATCAGTAATTTTTGTTGTAATAAAACTGCAACTCTATTCAGCTTTGTCATTCCATAATCCTCCATCTGTTCTGTTCACTTATCGTTCTAATACAAAGAAAATTCAACACTAATCGATTCTTAACCCTTAACGAACGAATGCCGCCATACGTGTGATATTTTAGGAAATCTGTTAGGTTCGGGCTTCATTTTTCTGAAATTTTCACTTTGGTATTTCTTTGTATGGGCTTGTCTTTTTATACACTACCTGTTATTACTATAAGCTTTCATAAGATCCAACAAAGCGATACTAATTACGCACCTTTTCTCGCTCTGGAAATAAAGCACTTAATTTCTTAAGAATTCTGTCCACCTACTGGTCTTTACTTTACAAAATGCGCTCGCTCGTTAACGGTAAAGTCAAAAATATGATTTCAACTCTGTTTAGAGTTTTAAAATTATTGGCTTAACATTAAAATCTTGCTTGTTGTTGCTCCATAAATACCTTCAAAGTGTTTGCAATGATGTGAAAAGTCATGGGAACTATTTAATTTTGTTTTCTTATTTAACTCCTATTTTAATAACCAGTAGGAAAATATCAATTTTCTCTATTATTTTTCTAAGAAATTTTCAACCGACCTTAAGGCTATTTTGAACAATTCATAAGAAAAATTTGTTTCACGATACAATATTCCCAACACGTACTACCGCATACGATTTGTCCGTTAGTGTATAAGCATATCTAGGTGGATAAGTAACGCGTACTATTGTATAATTTCTTTGCGGAGAAATTGTAACCTTATAACCTCATTCGCTTAAGCACTAGTATGGCTAGAAGTAGTACAATATTTAAAAAAATCGAAACCGTTAGTATAAAAAAAGCCCTGCAGGAGATTTCATTGTGATAGCAAGACTATGCAAGTAAAACCATAAGAAAGCGTCACAAAAGCTGCTATTGTTAATACAACGTTAAGTAATAGTTTCGCGATGTGCTGTGCTTATGTGTTAAACGCGCTTTGATTCTTGCGATTATTAAATAAGCAGGCGTTAAAAAAATATGTTTCATAGCGGAAGCCTGTCATCCAAAATCGCTGACATAACGTTGCGATCAAAATACTCTGTTAACAACTAAGAGACCTTGTAAACGATCAAGTACCCATTCCATAAGTTATGCCATTCGGGGCCTTCATTCGTCAACTGATTATAAGGAAATATTCGTTTTAGTGACAAGTGTCATTTGCAAAGCGTTTGATCAAAATCAATTATCAAGGGAACTGTAGGTAGCAATAATTTGCCGTAAAAACGCATTAAGCATACTTTGGTAAGTAATGAAAGGCTCTACATCAGCCAAGGCTAGGCTTGTCACAAAATTCCGAAAAGTCAGCTGCAATCCAACTACTAATTCCATACCAAGGTATAGAAGTCGAACTTAAAATATATGTTTTTATGAAATGTTCTAGATAAAATAAGCGCTCTAACTATGCTGACACAAACGGGTTCTTTTTGATTTGTAAAGCAGCATTTATCCCAACCACACATTACACTTTGCACTTCAAAAAAATAGTAAACATTGCAAGCCAGCAAGTTGGATCGCATACAGAAGTAATACATAAAAGGTAATCAAAAGCATATATTTAACAGGAGTAGGTTACGGGAGGACTGTAAATTGAAGCTTATTAAAAGCACAGCGTATTAGAAAATTGTGCTATATTATTGGGACTTTCATCAGCATAGATCAGCATCTTGTGTATTTGTACTAATATCCTTAATTACAATGGGATCCATTGTTAAACTGGTCACATCTACCTCACGTAACTGTTCTTTCCAAACTTAATACCCTCAAAATTAATACGAAAATTTTGAAAATTTTATTAAGTAACCTGACCCTATTCACAAAGGCATGATCTTAATGAAAAAAGAACCATCTTTTACTTCAAATAAAACTTTCTGATTATGATTATCTAAGGATTTGTTGTAAGAGCATAAGGCCGATTTATACTTCTTTGAAACAATCCCAAGGTCTTACTTAATGATCCTTTATTATTACAAACAATTTCAAGAAACGTGAAGAAAAATATGTCAATAAATTTAGAATGGTTTTGTAATATAGAAACTTTTAACGAGTTAAAATTAGTCAAACGAATTTTCTTGTTATTAATGAGACCAGGATTTAGGTTGTTTTTTCGTAACTTCGATAAGAACGTACGCTGATTTCCTTACTAATATTTATTTTTGTGAGAGATTTAGAGAAAAGATTTAAATATTTTTATGTAAATATCAAATATATATTTATTTTGATTTATATATCAATAAAATATAAATTTTAAAATATAAAATGTAAAATAAAAGTATTAAATGTAAACGCAAAAAAAAAAAAAAAAATTTATAAAAATTACATTAGGTCGATTCGATAATCGACGATTCTTCCACTCCATTATTCGCTTCTTATAAATTTGAAAAATATTAAGACGCCAGAACACTTCCACACTGAATTATAATTTCAAGCTGATCAAGAACATAGGCACTTTATGGACGTTTTTCTATACACATACTTGCGGTCTTAGAAATAACAACAGCAAGTAATGGGGCCAATCGTTGTACTCTATCGCAGAAGAACTTTCAACGTCATGAGAAGGAGGCTTCAAAAGCAAAATAACCACAGATTTTCACCATTTACGTTACAATACAGGTGTCTCCATTCAGCAAGTTCGCTCAGTTTCAAGCCAGACGGCGTTCAGCCCTCAGGGATTACAAACGTGAAAATATGGACAGACGGACAGCCGGAAAAACAGACATAAGTAAACGGATAGAGAATTTAATAGTGTTTAAGAATATATTTTGAAGCTTTCTTCTTCGCATTAAAAAAAATCAAATTTCAATACTTTATAATAATGGGAATCATCGAGAGAATATATGAAATTTTTATCGCTTTATCTAACGTAGTTTATAATTAACAAGCAAAAAAAGCTAATTTCTTTGCTTTGAAAATAGAAGTATTCTCAATTTACGTGGTGCTGTGGTCGAATCGTGTAAACGATTTGGCCCACTTTCCAATTTCCCAATGTCAATTGCCTTACAGGAACCAACGTCACCACCATTTTTTACAAATTTTATACCGATATCTTAATTTTTGCCACAAGGAAAAGATTTGCAACGGACAGGTGGACAGCGGGACATGCTTATATCGATTCAGAATTTGATACTGATCGGGCTATAATTTGTGTGACGGCGAAGTTACCGTCTGGATCTTGCAAACAAATAAAAAAATGATATACACCCACCTTTCGCTGGTAAATTGAATTTCGTAATTAAAAAGCTAAAGCCTCTTCCAAACTACACTAAAACGATTTCTTCATTTCTTAACTGGCATATAACGGATATTATTCTGCAATATTTTCAAAGAGTTGACAAACCTTTAAAGTAATCCCATATTGAGTTAGAGGCAAAGACGGTACAAAGTCCTTATTTGTTCTAAAGAAATGAAAACTTGGATGCAATTCAGATTGTGGAAAGGAAATTCTCGTTAGATTTCGAAGAATTGACCATTAATTATAAGTGTACAAATGCACCAATCCATTTTCAACTTGAACTTTGTTAACGATCCTAACCTCCTTACGAAATTTCAGCACGGCATCTGCTGAAATTTGTCGCTTATTAACTAATATTTTTAAGAATTTTTCGAAACTTATATTCTTTGGACATTGTAGGTAGATTTGCATAAAGCTTAAGCTTTTTCATACTAGACATTTGCAATGGAATGAAAAAAATTAAAGCTTGGCTCTCTGTAGAGATTTTTTATAGCTTTAATATTCGCCTATAGGGCCATCAAAAACACAGAGATAAAAGTGACTAAGAACCTTAATTCAAAATCTCATCTTAATTAAGAAATTATGGAGGTTCTTGTGAGCTTTTTTCTTTCGCGATTATAACAGTAAAGCAAGCCTCTAGTCTCTATTTCACTAGTACGAAACCAAGTCACTTAATTAAAGAGACTTTTGATGCTTTATGTCCAGAATTTTAGTCTCACTTGGATTGAAATTAAAAGCTATGCGCTGCGAGATTTTTTTTTAATTTAATAATTTATTGCACTCGATTTTTCTTGCTTCGAATAAAAGCTATATTTATTCACAGATTACTTGGCGTTATATTGTGAAGCAAAAAAAAAAAAATGTTGAATTCAAGTTTTTGCTGGAATAACAGAGAAGTTGCTCACGCTTTTCATTAAAATGTACTTCAAGCCTTTTTTATTTTTTTATAATTAAAGTAAGGAAAGAATTTTTCTTTGTTTTTTATTGGTTTTATTTATTTTAATTTATTTAATTCTTTTATTTTTTTCCTAAACACGGAATTTTAATTGAATAACACGAGTGACCATATTTTTTATGAGTATGAGTGATCAGCAACCAACTTGCGTCAAAGTACAATATCAACTAAACGGATGCTTACGAAACCGGAAATAAAACTGCCACTTGTAGAATGGCCGACGCAAAACGAAGGCAACAAGTGATAAGCGCTCAAACAAACGAATTCATATACGAATTGTCAGCAACAAGTATTTCGGAATAACTGTTGCTTCTTCAATGATTTTGACGGTAACGATTTACGCAGTTTAAAGGGTCTCCTCATGAAAATGGGTTGGACAAACTACCCACATTTTATGCCCGATTCAAACTGCGCATGTCCAAACTCAAAGACGGGCAAATAAGGTAAATGAGTGAAATACCCAACAAGTGCCGAGCCGCGTTAAGAGCGCATATAGCGCATATAGCGTATGTAAGCTACATACGATGGTTGAGTGATGGTTAGTTCTTCTGCATGTTATCATAATCATTATCATCATTATTATCATTATCTTTTAATGCGCTGAGTGTAAGTGTAAGAGCGTTTTGTTTATGAAAATAACATTTAAACCGCGGTGCGGTAGAGTTGCTTTTCAACTTCATTAGATGAAGTTTTGTTTAGCGCGCAACACAATCATGTTTATGAAATTCGAACGACTGCTAATATGTGCAAACAATGTTTACCCAGTGTCCTTAATCATACTCTCTTACTGTACATCTAAAATCACATATGCCTATATGTAAACGTATGAATGTAGAGAATACTCAAACATTCGGATTTGGAGGAAAGGAACGCATTCAGTCTGTATCTATGTTTGTTGATACTGTGTTCGTCTGTGCTAAGTTTTTGTTTGTCTTACATGGATGTGAATTTTTGTTACACGCACGTGCTTATGCTTGCATTGTATCAAAGCTTGTTAATATGGTTGCATTTGTGACTATGAATGAATTCGTCTACAGTTTTGTTTACATTTCGATATTTCATAAATCAGAAAAAATCTAAATTAGACCACAATGACTGTCATTAAAAAAGTTTCCTTTCAAACATTAAATTATCTAATCTACTCGTAAGTGCTCTTACAGACATAGGCGCAAACGTACATACATATTATATATTATACTAATACTAAAAAAATTTCCTTTCTCAAAAAAGATAAATTCATTTACATATAATATATATTTTCATATGTGTTATTACAATTTATCTCTATTTAGTATTAAAAAATGATTTACAACGAAAAATTTTATCAGTATCGATTAAAGTATTTGGTGGTGATCGAAATTACTGTCATTACTGGAGAAACGATTTGAATCGACTGAGAAATAATTCCGAATATAGATTCACACAAACATGATATACATAATATATATATAATATAAAAATAATTAAATAAAATAATAAATGAAAAGGCAATAAATGAAAAAATATACAATATATATTACAATATTTATGATATAAGCGACCAATCGGTATATTTTCGGCGTTCAAATGAAACAATGTGAGAATGTCATCAAATTGCTTTGATTCTTCAGCAAAAATTTCATTAATTTCATTACGCTTTTTACAGCGGTTTTCGAATTTATATGTACCATGTTTAAAATAACCTGCTGCCTATTATTGACTCATCATTTAATGCAAAACAATTTCCCTGTAACAATCTTACGACGTGTGGTAATAGGTGGCTCTCAGATGGAATTAAATCTGTGGAATTTTAGCTAATTTGTTTAACGTTCTAAGTAATTCCACCAGTATTGCGAATATCGTTTAGAATACCTATTATTTACATGCACTCGAAAGACAAACGCAGGAATTTCTATTGGAATAGTAATTTTAAGTCCAATCAAAATAGCGTATTTCTAATCGAAAAAGAAATTCAAATCGCAATTTTTTTCTAAGAGATTCGCGTAACTGAATATCCTGTAACAGATATTTTTTAGGGACTGACTGGAAGGCATATTTTCAAGACCACATACTAATACTAATCCCAACTTGCCAGAGCGAAACTTTGTTTTTAATTTTGCTGAATTGATTCGTGCACGTGCACTCACTCCTAATTAACACATACTTAATCAATGTCTGTTTGTTGGAGCTTATAACTGAACCGTAACAAATACAAATTTCAGTCTCTTTGGAATTCTTGTTCCAATTAGTTTTTCTTTTTTTATTAACAATCCCCTTCTGCAATTTTTATAATAAAGAACGCGCTTTAGGTTATGGTACTCAAATGAAATAAAAGTGCTGCAAAAGCAAAACAGAAGATCCGATAAGCGCGAGAAATGTTAATTGAGACATGCCTTCTTCCAGTTTGCTTCCAACGGTCAAGCAACAAATACACGATGGCCGATGGACGATTTAGCTTCAAGACTGAACAAACAGCAAACTCTTACGTCGTCTTCACTCGACATGACTTCTACCTCCAAAGTCATAATTGCTACTTCGGAGTGACCAGTGAGGAATGCCATAAGTTGATCATCCCACGGCAAATGTGTAGAAATATGGGTTAAAAATTGACTCCACTTAAAGGCAATAAATAAATGCCGATCGTAAGACTTTTGTTATTATGTGCAAGGAATAGTGTATATATCCAACTTTTATGCTACTAAGTCGCTTTTACAACTTTACCTTTAAGTTTTTGAGTAGTTATAAGATTATTGAAGCAACCAAATATGTTCTTCTGAAAGAAATTTTAGCTCTTCAAACAAACTTGAGTACTTTTTTGTTTCAAAAAAATTCCTAATGAGTTGAAATTTTTAACATTTCTTCTTAATAATCACTTCCACACTTAATATTAAAATTTGCGTTTGAACTTCTAATGAAATGAAAGTTCTTTAAGTTTACCTTTCATGAAGTCTGAGCTATTTTTTGTGCAAAGGAATATTGTGTGCTAAATGTTTTTATAGGAAGAGTAGGATTAGTTCCCAGCAGCATACATATACACCAAAATGTTTATCTAAACAAATAAGAGTTTCATCTAAAGTTCCCCAGGCTAATCACGTTGAATCCTAAACATACTAGCGGTTATTGTCGTATATTCTCTTGCTCTGAGTCGTTCAACAAGGACGAACGGTATTGAAAACAATTCGCAACGAGCCGAGTTTTCGACCACTTCCCATATAACGCCTTATTTTGAACTACTTGTCGTCTTTTCTCGCAATAGTTCGGGCCTGTGCATCGCTTAATTACCTAATGCGTGGGTATTGTCTTAAAGATAAAAGATAAATTCTTGAAAAAGCAAAAGTATCACGCATACATTTGATAATATCCGCGCGAAATAATAGCAGACAAGAGAATCTCGATCCAGATTGTTAATGACGAGGCATTCTTCTCAAGAAAGGAGATCTTTTTGATGAGATTTTATTAAAAGGATTTTTTTGGAAAATTTATAATGCAAACGATATTCAAAATTGCAGAAATAAATACAACATAATATTTTACATATATTTTAACTGCCAACACCAGCATAATATAAAGAACTACGAGGGAAAGAAGACAATTTATTTAATTTTCTTGTATTCCTTAAGGCAATCTCTTCCACAAGAAACTTACACCAAAAAACTAAAACAAGAACAAGAAACTTACATCGAAAAACCTAAGTCGAAGAAGAAACTTACACCATATAGCAAATGAATTTTAACGGTCCTATATGCAATAATAAACAATATGCAGAAGGTGTCAATGTAAAAGTTTTTTTATGATTTATTCAAATAATATCCTTCAACTTGTGATCTCTGGTATGGCATTTAAATGAAAGGATCCGAAAATGATTTCACATCATTTGGGATTTCACTCCCTCGCTTTTCTTGACGATTTTCCTCTTGCGTAAGTTGCGTAGGAATAACTCAAAATAGCGTAGTTTAGATTTTAAAGTGCTTTGCAATACCTTGTCGCGACCAATCTACATGCAACCACTATAGCGCTGTAATGCGTTTGACGCTTGCTAGTCGTTCTGCAGTCATCATCACCGAGAGACAAAATGCTGTTGATCTGTTAATAGGACAATGAGGTGAACATCAAAGGCACGTAAAAGAATATCTGTCATGTTTGTCCATTAATCAAACGAAGTTTTACGAAGATTTAAGTAATAAAAACAAAACTC